CACGTACGGGCTCGTGAAAGTTTTTGGCGACTAAGTTGCTAACTCGGGAACCAGAAAAGCTAGAAAGCTGAAATTTTTAGGGAATGTTTTCTCATAATCGTGGTGACCAGTCTCAATTCTTTTAGTCGGAACAAACAATGCCATTAGCGAAAAAAAAACCAGGGTGTAAAAAACGCATCTTCGCATCAGTAGTCGGTGCGCTGGCCAATTATTTTAAGTTGTACGGTTCGCTTTCATTGGACATGTGCATAATTTCTTCAGAAATCGACTAAGAAGTCAATTCTCGCGGGTGCCACTCCATGATATATGATATTCACAGCGCTAACAAAGCGAGCATCACGTATTCCAAGCTCAATTTTTATTTCCTTTCATGGCCATGATGATTTTCTACACGGTTTTTGAACCAAACATCTTTCGAATTAAACATAGCCATAAAGGGTACTCCAAATCCACAGTACATTAAAACTGGACGGAAAAGAAGCTCGGCTTATTCTAAAAAACATTACTAGATATCACGCTTGATTGAATTTTGCCAGCACTATGGACTGTGCGCGGCTGGCCAAAAGCAAATGAGAAAAGTTACCATTTGCATAACTGAAGAAACAGACAACAGAATACTACTCCTAGCACTATAAAAAGTGGCTTTGCATATTAAATTTTAAATTTCCAATGTTCCACATTAGTCATACAGGAAAACTGGATCTAAAAGAATTGAGACTGCCCACCAGGGCTGTCAGGAAACAACCCCTTAAAATTTCAGCTTTCTAGCTTTGCTGATTCCCGAGTTAGTAATTTACCTACAGAAAAATTCACGGGCCCGTACATAGGAACCGTGTATACCCGGTGTCTGAATTTCAGCTCAGTAAATTACCGAAGTTTTTCGAAACATTGCCGAAGAACTGCAAGGCCCTGGTTGATTTTGCCACTTTCAACCAGACGTACTCCTTCGTTTCCGGTTCGTTTGGTTCGTTCCGAACCAGCCAGGTCGACAAGTGACAACTGAGTTACGTACATCTACAATACGATGGACATTTTAACACAGAAATTCCATTATCGCACAGCGATTTTACATTAATAAAATTTTTATAAAGACGTACTTTGGAGAGATCGGAATCCGGATAAGACGTATTTCCGCGGCACGGGGCCATCACCACTCGAATATTGAAAATTGAATGGGAACGGCTGCTCTGCTTGTTCAACAGGGTATCCGCAACACGGCGTCTTTCCTGACCTGAAATGAGCAAAATTTTGAGTACTAAAAATGTGAAAATGCAGATTTCTGACGGACAGTGGATCAAAAATCAAAAATTTTTAAAGAAATCAAAAAATTCGATAAGGTTCATCTGTTAAAATAAAAAAAAAAAGGAACAAAAACTTTTCAAGATAATTCAATGAGATTATAATCGCTACCAGCGCATCTGTGGCAAATTTTTTTCTAATTATTTTTTCTCGTTTCTTAAGAATTATCGAAACTTTCGTAGCAACTCTCTAAACCCCCCAGGATTGAAGTTTACAAAAATTTGAAATTTCTCCACTTATTTTTTATGAGAAATGTGCATGCTCCGAAATAACTTGGAGCCAATAACAATCACTCATATGGCAGGGCTACTGAATGTTCACTTTTTCGAGGTTTATCAGCAACTCTTGCTCAGTAACACGCCTCAGTGCAAAATTACCAACAATATGATCTGGAGGAGAAGACATATGCTCAATTTTGGCAGAAGATGCCACTTGCTGCATCTGCGAATACTTCAGCCCGCACTGTTAAGCAGATTGCAGCATCCAGGTTGACGCTGGAAGTACAGATGGCGAAGGTGTGAAGGAATTCAGGAGGAAAGAAATAGTGTAGGAGAGGAGGTAAGAGCGAGATAAGACGTTTCGGTCCATTAAGTCATATACGTTTTAACTCAACAATGCGACTGGACCTTATCAGTATGACGGTCGCAGTGCTTAAAGAGGAAGAAGTTTGACAGGTCAAATGATAACTCATCAAAGAAGACTGCCACAAGACCTACCTTTATAGAACTGTTCCAGTGCTTCATCGCTGGAATCCACTTCCACTTCAATGATGTTACCCACATAAAACATGTTATTTGCGCCAAGCCGTATTTCCTTGCCCGCCAAAGTCCTGAGATACTTTTTTTTGGTTTAAATACAATCATTTTACAATTCAACCCCTCTCACCTCCCAGTTTTTTTTTTTTCTAAATCTGCAGAGGTTTAAAGCGATTAGTGTAACAAAATCACTCATGCCTGAAAATATACCAGCAATTCAAGACATTCTAAAGGCAAAGCTCTGAAATCTAATAAATGCTAGAAGCTGGAATAATCGAGTAACAAGGATACCTGGTACCATCTGCCCGGACCAGTGGTTCATCGAGGAGGTCATAGCAAACTTCATTATAAACTTCCACGTACGAGACAAACACTGCACATAGCATGTCTGGATCAGCGCCAGTCACCTAAATCTCAAGCCATCATTGCAATATCTATTACACTGGTACCTCTTTGATCAATTTTTGTTCCACTATCGTGTTTCTTCGCCAGATGCAGCTTGCAACTTCTCCATCCTCTA